AAGCAGAATATAGAGCTTTAGCTTCCACAACATGTGAAATTCAATGGCTTCTGTATTTGCTCCATGATTTGAAATAACCTCTACCACAACCAGTTTCTCTGTTTTGTGACAATCAATCTGCTATACAAATTGCACAAAATCCAGCCATGCATGAAAGAACAAAGCATATTGAAATTGATTGTCATCTCATAAGAGATAAAGTTCAAGCTGGTGTAATTAAGCTCCTGTCCATTCCTACTTCAGCACAACTTGCAGACATTCATACTAAAGCTTTGCATCCAGCACAATTTCAATCTTTGTTGTCCAAGCTGAGCATTAAGGATATATATGCTGCAGCTTGAGGGGGGATATTGGATTTAATTTATTTTCCGTTCATATCTGTGCATTTATCTTCATATATTTATATTCTATTTTTATATTTATATTCCGTTTATATATTGTTTCAAACAATTATATATATGTAAAAATTGTACTCTCTTCTCATGGAATAAGAAATACAATTCCTATCCTTTCTTTTCTCATAACAATATCTTTATTTTAGCCATTTTATTTTAAAATAATGAAATTTTAGAAATTAATACACGTAAATATTTTAATTTTATGAAGCTGCAGTTAATATTGGATAATAAAAATATATTTTGGGGAAGAGAATTTAAGAAATTAAAATTTTGATGATATTTAAATTAGACTTAATTAGTCTGATAGTTCCATTTTGGTGATATGTGTCAAGTTGGTTACTGATTTTAAAAAAATTTCATAGTGTCTTAACTTTTAAAAAAGTGTCTCCATTACATCTTTTTGAAAGAAAAAAATTACTAACGACGTTAACAATATGTGTCAATCTGTATTTTTTAAAAAAAATATATATTTTTTTTATTTTTTATTATTATTAAGTTCATGGTGTGATACATGACACTGTCAGTGTTACATTGCAGCGTACTACTACTATATGTATATGTTAAATATTATTGTCTTGATTTCAATTTAGTTTTTATATTGATTTTTTTAATTCAATTTAGTCTCACTTTTTCTCAAAATAAAATAATATTATTTCTCTCCAAATTAAGACAAAGTTTATTATTTGTATAAATGTTATATTTATATTTTTTTATTAAAATTACTTTTTAGCATATTACATTATTATATATTATTAACTCATGATTTGTTAATCATGACTTTAACCACTAAATTATAAATATCAGTATAACATTTTGTTTCAATTAAAAGAAGACCAAATTTATTATTTGTATAAATGGTATTTATTAATTTATTTTTATAACAAAATAGATTAATAATATATTAGTTTTAAATACTTGTTTTTTTGTAAAAATATTTATACTTAATTAGTTTTAATCTTATAGAAAATTTGATTAAAAAAATATGAATTAATAATATATAATAATGTAATATTTTAAAAATTATTTTTATTAAAAATATATCTATAAAATTTATACAAATAATAAATTGTGTCTCAATTTGGAGAGCGACAATATTAATCTATTTTAAGAAAAATTGAGACTAAATTGAATCAATAAGACAAATATAAAAATTAAATTGAAATAAGACAATAATACGTGACACATACACGAGATAGTACTCTACCACGTGACATTGACAATGTCCTGTGTTACACCATATAGACTTTGACACGTGGCAACACAATTTATTTTAAAAAATTATATTTTTTTAAATAAAAAAAATAAAAAAAAACACAAATTAACATGTAGTATCGGTTAATGTTATAATTTTTTTCAAAAAGGTATATAATTAAAGCACTTTTTCAAAAATTAAGACGCAACTTAAACTTAAAAAAAACGGGAACCAATTTAACACAAATGCTACTAAAGTTGATACTATCCAACTAATTAAGCCTTTAATTTATTGCAACTGATTTTTTTATTATTTTTTAAATATATAAAATAATTAAAATATCTAATATTTTTAATTTTTTTGAACAAAGTAATTAAATTTTCCTTTTAAGATAAAATTCAATTTCAGCAATATATATTTTGAAATATAAACTTTCAGTTTAAGTTTTCTTTTAATTTTCTTGTCTAAACATCTTGTTTTATTCTAAAAAAATTTTAAATTCTTCAAATAAATAAATTTAATTTCAAATTACCTTTAGGAATGCCAAAATAAGAAAGTTCACTCCCATTCGGACCAATCCTACCATTTACCCACCAAAAATAGGACGAACGGACTGGCCCATAGTAATAGAGCTGATGGAAAATCCTAACTCAAACCACCAAAGGTTCTAAATACATTTTAAGTTTTATTTGATTAATTATATAGATTAAATAATTATCTTACATGTTATATTACTTCGTTATAATATGTAATTAAACCTTAATTTATAAATACTAATTATTTAAGTTATAATATTATTATATATTTATAACTCTCAACTAATATAATACACAAATTAATTTTTAAAATTATATTTTACTTTAATTTTTATTTAAAAAAGAGTGGGTTGAAAGAACAATCCATCCCGCCATACGTCTAGCCATCAAATTGGATGATGAGACAGAAGAAGCGAAAGTGAACTAGTAAGTTAAAATTTTGAACTCGATTACAAGGCTAGTTCTATTTTGTCATCTCTAATTTCCTCATTCAAATATTTACTAAAATTACTCACAAAAAGAGAAATTCCTTGTATACATTGTTAATATGGATGGAAGGTTAATTTATTTTAATTTTGTACTTTTTAAATGTTTTACACATATAATATATATTAAAAACACACTCGTAAATATATTTTAAGTTTTAATTAATTAATTAGGGTTTCTAACTGAAACTTAATTTTTAAATGTTAGTTATTGGTTATAATATTATTATATATTTACATCTTTTGAATAATATAATATATACAAAAATTATGTTTTTAAATTATTTTTATTTTATTTGTATTTAGAAAAATAGGTTGACAGACGAAACAAGTGAAAGTGAATAATAAATTAAAAGTCCCAACTCGACCGATCAAACTTTATCATAGTGACAGGTGGACTGCAAGGCTATATTTATTTTGAAATCCCTATTTACGTTATTCAAATATCCACTAAAATTACACGATTTGTACTCTTCCTGTATAGTTTACTCACAGAATGCGAAATGTTCAGTATAGATTGTTAATGTGTTAAGGTTAATTGTAGCCTTTTGATATGACTGGCGTTGGCCTGTATAATGGTCACCAAGTAAACTCAAGTAGAAGTTTTTTAACATCAGGCTTTTGAATCCAATTAGATTTTTCAATTTTAAACTTTTCCTCCTATTTAAAAGGCACCTTTTTTCATTTAAAATTTCAACGACATAATTATGATTTTTTTAGAACAAAACAAAAACCAAACTGATCGATAAATAACTAAACCTAAACAGTTATCTCATTTTATATTTTCATCGTTGATTTATTTTTTCTCTTAAAGGATTTCCTTTTGATGCTTCTGCAAGGGACATCTGCAAGTGTACGACTACAATGAAAGCCCCTCTACTTTCCATAAAGCACGTAACATTCACAACATCAGAGCTCTGTCATAAAAGATAGAACCATCGCAAAGTGGCATTTGTTGCACATGATATGATCTTAGCATTTCGACCTTCATTGATGACAACATCTAACGGCAAAATCCTTTTGTTGAAACTGAAGAACTCAACCCCAATGGGAATTTCAATCAGGAGTTGATCTTCACTTGAACATATTGTCATTGGAGAGCCATTCGCTTGAAATTTACTCAAATAACACCCATCAGTTAAATTTACCAAGTTCCATCTTCTTCTTGATAGCCCTTTGACCGTGATAAATAAATGAATCTAGTATTCCAGAAACGGTAAAGATACCTGCATGTGCAACACACAGAAAGTATGATTCTGTCAGGAAATGAAACATATTTGTGAGTATTCAATCTAAATTATGCAAAAGTGAAGAGGAATAGAGGAAGATCCATATCTACCTCCAACTATAGCACACACGTTAGTAAGAAAATGTAAGAATGAGACATGTCCTTCTGTGAAAGTAACCTGCAGAATGTCATTCCAGTATAAGACGTGATCAAAAGCGCAAAAATGAAAAGGAGAAGATGTGATCAAAGAAAAGTACTTGAAAGAAAATAACTAATAAAACTATCGAATCTAATATTCCCTATTTTAACATCAACCAAAAGCTATGATAATTAGGGGTAAAAGACCCCACCTTAATTGGAGAAAGGTCATAGAAGAAGAAAACTCCAGGGAGGGACTGCAGACGGCCCACATCTCCAGTCCTGAAGTGTTCCGTCACAGAGAACTGGCAAAACATTTCAAGTTAGCATTATGTTTCCCCAGCAAGAACAAAGAAAAATGGAAGAAAGTTAACTTTATAAGCTCAATAACCTGATTTGACTGGATAGTATGCCCATTCACGTCAGTGTATACGGTCGGCACAACCTGAAAAACAAACAAAATAAGTGGAAAATTTGATTAGTCCTCCTTAGAAGCATATTGATGAAATATTCCGCATTGTTATGGCTAAGATCTTTTAATGTTTTTACAAGAGAAAACACAAGAGGTGCACATCTCCCTAAACAAAGGTCTAATAGAACAACCAAGTCCTATCCAATAAGGTCTACATGGATTATATTTACTCATTTTAAAAATAAAATGGGATAAAATTGAGAACATTCAAAATAGTGGAACGAAATTGAAAAGATCATCATAATATTGGCATCAGAAGGCCTATTTAACCTACATAATATTATAATGTCGGCCTATATACATTCAATATATCAGAAGATCAAAAATGACATTCACAATTGTAACTCACTTTTGATTCATATAACTTGTGAAACTAGAAGAAATAACAATTCAGCTCAGAAACATTTTCTTTCCCGTAGTAGACAGAGGACATAGGGATAGACAAACAATTGGAAATTATAGTGATTAACCACAAATATAAAAATGAGGAAACTACACATATGCTTTAATAAGATTTAGTATTAGTATATGTAGAGATACAGAATTCTAACCTTAATAAAATACTGGTACATCCCACTTGGTGTGTCTTGTATCCAATGCACACTGATAATCAATAGAGCGTCAGAATGAATATACACAATAGTGAACTTCGATAAATGATTGGATTTGAGGATTAAAAAATATGAAAAGCTCACTTGTCGAGAGGATTTACAACACCAGGGAAATACTCTCCATAAGATAATCTGTTGATGTGGTGACTTAACTGAATTAAGAAAAAAAAAAGAAAAGGCATGTCAATGTCTTGATAAAGAGGAGTGAGAAGAAATTCTCTTGCCAAAAAATAACGAAGTATTATGTTGTTTTTGATATTTCATAAAAGATATAAAATGTGTAATAGAAATTACAATAAAAATTTGCAATAGGAATACAAAATATCAGATAATGACTTACATTAAAAGAATCCTTTTGAAAGGCCAGCAGGTCATGCACATGTACACCAGATTGCTGAAAGCTTTTCCCAGGGGCAAAATGGAAGTTCCCTGCAACCTTATTTACTTCCAAGAAACCATACACATTGCATCCTTCACCATCTTCATCCTTGATTCTTTGTAAGAATCCTTCTCTTTTGCACTAAGTAACACACATCACATGCCAAATAGGGACTGGATTAAATTAACAATTTGACTTTGAAAGAAGAGTTATTTAAATAGAAGAGAATGGGCGTAATATAAAAACATCAACTGTTGAAGAAACAGCTAAGTGAAACATTGTAAGATACACATGCTAAAAATATTTATGGAAAAAACCTATATAGCATTGGCTAATATAAACAACTATATTTGAATAAACATGGAGAAATGTCCTTCCATTTAAGTTGAAAATGAAATCACTAAGGAATCCATCCTTAATCCTTTGGTAGTTCAGTTTACTATGAATGATAAAGCAGTAAGCCAAACTCTTTCACTCAATGCTGCATTGGCTACTGAAGCATAATGAGCTCTTTTGGTAGGTTTATAGTCACATGGTTGGTTTAATGTTAACCTATTACTCCTTGGTTAGGACTCCAGATAGAACCAAGAAATACAATGAACAGTTCTAAATGCTGTTGCATGTTCATATGCCTCATGAATTCACTTGTATCCTACCAGTTTACAATTCTAGCTAGGGAAAACAAGTTAACTCACTTGCAAACTTGTTTCTGAGAAAACTCAGCTCCGGTAAACTTGCACAAACTAGCAAATTTGAGGGTCATTGATCATCAAATCTGTACTAGAATGATGACCCACCTCCAGATGAGCCCACAACAATTTTTCAGTGCTTTTCAAAACCCCAAAATGCAGCATTGTGAAACTTGAATGCATGCCTTCAAGCCCACAGTGGCACAAACCTAACTCCAGAGCTGTTTCTACCATGGTCAGAATTCAGTTTCAATGAATGTGATGAATGAAGATGCAGGCCTGCAAAGATTCTCAACTCAGTTGCAACAATGTAATGAATTCTACTTTGATAAAGTCTTTGTTGCAAGCCTGCAAGCCAACATAGAGACTAGGTAAACCTAATTTCAACAAGGTGAACAGAAGCCTCTCCAACTGAGGTGAACAATCCATCTATAACAAGGTTAACCCAGCTGAATCTTATGAGGGGAACCATCATCTTCAGTCTTGCGAAAAATTTTAACCTGGTGTTTTGTAATTTGTCCATCACTTGCAGAACCTCTTACAGTCTCTATGATGAAATGTGACCCCATCATGTGGTATGTGAAATTGCCTATATGCTCTATTTGTGTATTGAGCTATGAACTGAAGTTTAGTTTATTAATTGCTACGAGATAGTTTGAAATTTGAAACCTGTGGATCATAGTCCTCAAGAATTTGGTTGTGATTTAGCTTGCATTGTTATACTTTGTTATTTTAGTGTTTTTCTAATAAAAATCACATGCTAGGCATCACTATGACTTATTTTATTTTAGTTTGCTTTAATATACAGTTTTAATGTTGAATTTTTATATAGTTTACATGTTGTTTGGATATGGTGATGGGTGTTTTAATTATTATTTTTTCAGTATTGTGATATAGAAGTTTGCAGAAGCTCCATTGCAGACTCTCAAGTTTGACATCTTTATTGTGTGTTAAAAATTTCTCCATCATAATGTCAAATTACACGTGTGCTGTTTCACCAAGCTATAACCCAGTTCCAGTATGTTAAAGGGTGGCGACCAACTCCTCAACATAGTAAAAGAATGAAACCAAAATAAATTGAAAGTATGAGCATTTCTTGTAGAAGAAATTTTCATATATGTCAAGCAACAAAATCATGTGATATGCTCAGGAATAATCTTGAATTTGATGTCAAGATGTCATAGGACAAACCTGATCAATTAAATCTGGGTTTGAAAGTGCCCAACCTTTCTTACGGTATGCTTCACGAACATCCTCACAGGAATTACAACAATCATCATCAGACTGCAAACATAAATTAACAGGATTATTCTGGTTTGCCATGGAAGAGGCAGAATTGCACAGTCACGAGAAGAACAAGAACAAGAACAGGTGGAAGCAAGTGAGAAAAAGAGAAGAAGCAAAAAAAAATATATTCAACTTGACTCTTTTACCAAGAAGGGAAAAGACTAACATATATACACTAGCCAACAAACGCTCCTCAAACAAAAAAGACCAAACACTCTGAAAACAGAAAAACAACCAAAAGATGTGCCTGAGCCTAAGACTTCTGAAACCAAGACAGCTTACGCTATTATAAATTACCCAACATTCAGGTAAGAATTAAATTTATCATGCTAAGAAGAACATTTCAAGCGAAGATACATTCAGTTCCATCATTATGAAGCCTGAGTCGGAAACCAAAGATATTAGATTAAAGGAAGAATGCAATGCAGGGGCTTGACTATTAATGACACCTAGTTGAAATCTGAAAATTGTTTATCCAGAACAATATATGACCACTTCTGTTTATATACTCAAACAGCAGTGAAATAAAATACAAGATTTCTTAGTAAGCAATGTAGTTATAAATGAACAATTTCCACTTTCTTCCCTTTAAAAAACAAGATATACGCAAGGCACTAAACCAACACATCCCTATAGTGCATAATTTTAAACCAGGCATACCGTTTCAGCACCAAAACAGGAACCACAATAAGTCTCGTTGTGCTCAAGCCTGCCTCCATGCCTTTGCAAGGGCTTTTCAATCTGATCAAATAAAAAGTCAAATGAATAAAATGCTGCAAAAACAAGACAAGCAAGGAAGACATAATTTCTCAATGGTATGTTTGGATAGGGAATTTTAATAGCTAAGGATTTTCAAAAGAAATCAAAATTTTAGAATTTTATAATAGCAATTTGATTACTTAAAATTAGAGAATTTCAAATTCTACTTAAAAAGAATTTGAAATTCTTCATATTTTCAAATTTATGTCTCTTCTCTTCGTAATTTGTCCTCAACTTAATTTTGATCGCAAGATCATCAATTATTGTTGGCTTGGTTGAGGCCTAGTGTCATAATATCAACATTATCTATTGATAAATGTCAACTAAGGTTTCTTTCATACAAGGGTCAATCATGTTTATTTTTCAAAAACTTAATATGGTCATTTTATTACCGATGTAGGCCAGACGACATATTTGTAATTGATGTAACTTAAATAATTATGGCTGACATAATCTTGACCAACATCAATAAAAAAAAATTGTCAATGGCAACTGAAAAAATCTTACTAAAAAATAACATCAACCAAATCAATATCTTAAATATTGATATTTTTGAATTATTAACAAGTGTTTAATATTTAAATAAATTTTTGTATTTGATAGTAATTGAAATAATTTATATAGACAAGAAAACTAAAATTCAATCAATTTGAATTTTCATGTTCAAACCAAATATTTGAAAAATGAAATAATTTAAAATGAGATCAATTCAAATTCAATGTGTTTGAATGTATTATAAAATATGAAATTCTCTATCTAAATGTAAGGTAAAACCATAAGTTAAGAAGAAATAAAGATAAAGCGCTAATGATATAATCTTAAGAAATGAGAAAAAAAAATGAATCGAATTCTGAAAGGAAACAAGTAACTGCTGTTAGAAGCTCATCTTCTATAGAAAAAGTTCTCTTTAAAATGTGTTTAGTCACCTAGGCCTGCTAAAAGCTTAATGTGTCAATCATGGTTTTAAAATATGGTCAACGACCACGCTTTTGGCAGCTAGTCAATGCTTTGAGTTTACAGCAACTTGATGCCATTTTAGGCCGCACGTCAATTTTCTTGGCTTTACAGCACCGCAACTGGAACAAATCAGCCACATTTCCCAACAATGTCCAGAATGTAAAGGATAATGACAAAACAGCACCTCAATTTAAAACCTCTATATGGTTTACTACCACAGTAACTAACCCTCGATTATAAAGGCATGCATTACAAGACTACATATATCCAACCGAACATAATTGTGTTGTTTACCTTGGGAGCACCAATTCCTTCTTGCCTCGTTTCTATCACATTGCCGTGAGAGTCTAATCTCTTTTTGATTATATCATGTTTCTGAGAGTTACACAGAAAAAGATTAAATACAATGTCACAAACCATGAAATTACGGACGAAAACCAAATCACCCACCTACCTCTGCAGCTAGAGTAAAATTAAAAAACCAAAATAAAATTCACTTGTGTATCTTAATTCATAATGTTAACAATACATACAACGTCTAGGTGCTGCTCTCCGCTGATATCCATGGCATCGAGACTAAGTATGGAACACGGAAGGGCAGGAAACGTGACATCAAACTGCACTTTCAGCATCAAAACGACGAAGTCCAGTTAATTGATAACAACTATGTAAAAAAAACAAATTGACAGTTAATGGAGAGGAGAGGAAGTTAGCGATTACATTGATACGCATCGTTTCGCCTCTGGAAGTGTCTACAACAAGGTTGGTCTCGGTGACCGAGTGGAGGTACATCCCTGGAGGCAGTGCAAACACGAGAATGAGTTTGGGTAACGAAAAGGACGAGTAAAGAAGAAAAAAAACGTCGATGGAAAGAAGCGTACGGAGCTCGGAGAGGAAGAGCAAGAGCATGAGGATAGAGGAAACGAGGGTGATAACGCCGCCGGAGAGCGTGCGGCTGTAAAAATCTTCGTTGATTTTGGGGTACGCGTCGAGGTTGCGGAGCTTGCTCATTATGCCATCCATGCTTGAACTTTCCCCAAATCGACGATTATAATGGCGGATCCAAAACGGAAGGTCTAAGAAAAAATAAACCTAAGTTTGATTAAAATTGAATTGAGGAGAAAAATTGGTGAGAAAATGTTTTGAAATTGAGAACACCCCGTTCAATCGAAATTCTTCGGAGGTTGGATTAGTGACGGGGCGTTTCAGATTGAATGCAATTTCCTGAAACTGCGACGCCGCTATGTTAATCTTGTTCTATTTTAACTCCGCGTGCGCGTGTTTCTGGTTAGGTTGGAAGGTTTGTTACCCATAAAATATTTTTGTAGCTCCCAAAAATATAAGCGAAAACATTTTTGTTATTGCTGTTATTTGTTTGTGTCTGTCGGATTCGGATCTTTTCCTGGCCCACTTTCACCTTGTAAAGTTTTCAAATTTTCTCAAACAAAAATACACTATATATCTAATATTCATACACAAAACAATTATCCGTTTATGAAAGTATTTCATAACAGTTTTTATGTTGGGTATCATAAAGTAAGGTTTAATCATTAGTACAGTCTCTATTTTTTTTTGTACTTTTTTTATTTTTTGTCTCATATTGAATCTTTATTTTTTTTTTAAATTGAAACAAATAAAAATAAAGAAACTTATTTAAAAAAAATTTACAAAATTAAACAACAAATGAAAAAATTTAACCTAAATAATATGAACGAGTAAACTATAAAAATTAACATTTCAATAATAAATATTTTGGTGAAGGTGATCTACACAAAAATAGTCTGAGTACTTCCTCTACTATTCATAAAAAGTTTATAGAGTTAAATATTAAGACTTGGAATACATCATCACTAAAGATTCTGATGGCAACCCCTTTAATGACTTTCCATCCAAAGAAGTATCAACTTCACTCTAAGACCAAGAAAGGGAAGTTGAATAAGGACTTAATCTTTTCTTTCTAAGTCTTAGCATGTTCTTCTTTAACTAAATATATTTACCTTGTTTTGTAGGTTACCAATAAAGGTGGGAGCCCATGCATATACATCTTAGAAGGTTTGCCAAGCAAAGCAGAGAAAAGGAAGTAAGTAGGAGTGCATGTTTCAGCCAACTTCATCCGTAAACTCCATTCCGCTGCCACTTTTGGACCGAGAAGCCACTCCATTCTTGAAGGTGGAGGTCGCTTCTATCAGATTCACTTAACAAAAACATATTTAAAAACAAGAATTTGGAAAAACATACATACCATTATTTTATTTAGTTAAATCTTCTAAAATTATTTGTGTCAACTTTCTGGAAACCCTTTCGAGCAAAAAATTATATTTAATTTAATCTTTTAATCATTTAATGTAGGGACCAAATTGAAACAAAATAAAAATACAATGACCAAAATGAACAAAATAAAAATACAAGAATCAAATTGAGACAAATGCAATGACACGTGCCTTTACAATGACATGCAAAAATGTTAGTGTCACGACACATTATCATTTCCACGTGACACAATGTTAACATGACACGTAGAAATTTTTTTAAAAAAATAATAAAAATTCAAAAAAATAAATAAAATATTTTAAAAATTCAAAAAAACCACGAGTTGACACGTGGCACCTCTTTAACAGTGTTAGTACAGAACTAACAACAAGGACCTAATTGCTCCAATTTTTCAAAAATAAGGATTCGGTTAAACCATAAAGTAATTTAGAAGACTAATTTATTTAAAGAATTTAATTTTTTTTATATTAAAATAACTTGTGTGATTAAGTATTTTAAATTTAAAAAGTTTTGGAAGGTATTTTAAACTAATAAAATACAAAATTTTTAAATATCTTTAAAATGCATAAAAAATTCGAAATTTCATTCTTATTCACTTCAGTGTAACTCCACTAATGAAGGTCAAGTCGAGTTTGTCTAGGATAAAGGTTAAGCTGAGCCAAGTTCGGCTGGTAACCGATCTGAGTCAGTTTCGGTCAATGGTTGATATAATTCGACTTAGGTCAAAGGTTGATCTGAGTCAGCATGAATCAAAGGTCAATTTGAGTCAGTCCACGTCGAAAGTTGAACCAAAGTTTAGGCTAAGTCAAGCCATAGACGAAAGTCGGTCCTAGTCAAGCTCGAGGCAAAGGTCAATCTGAGTCATGTTGAGGATGAAGGCGATCTAAGTCGACCCGGGATGATGGTCGACATGAGTCGACCTTAGTTTACGGTTGGGGCGAAGTGAGCCTGAGTCAAAGGTTAAGTCAAGTTGGTCAGGACAAAAGGTTGACCCAAGTTTGTCCGGGTTGATAGTTGGGCCAAGTTAAACTAGATTAATTATCGATTTGATTCTATAACGCCCCAAAGTTTAGGGTGTCACGGTTTATTACAAAAACCGATAATTTTCAAAACTTTCTTATACAGCGGAAAATATTTTTAAAAACTCAGCATTTAAACTTGCATCAAATAATAGTTCCAAAATATTTATCCAATTGCATTATTTAAATAAAACCAAAATAACGAAGGAAATAAAATAACTCCAATTACATTGTCTTAAAAGCTCAATTGCAATAGTTTTAAATAAAACCCCAAGTCTGGCCCCCGTCATCTCACGGATCTATCATGCTTTATCTCCATCTGTAGCATCATTTGCTCCCGTATAACATCACACATTGTACGATAATCGCATTCACATGCACACACACAAACATGTATGGGGTAAGCTACTGCTAAAACAATCATAAAAATAAGATATAAACACATTGATTATATCAACCATAACAACCACCTCATACCAAATTATAATAACAATAGGATCCCTAAACCTTTAACACAACAAATCAATCACTATAAATTACTAAATCCTCGAACCCCGATCCTCGATCCTCACATATCTAGACTACAGTCTACCCGTTCACCAGCACCTTTTTTGTCTACACCACATAATCCCATTACTATGAATATAGCATTCCTTGGACCATCATCGTCATTACGATCATTCACACATGTACCTCTATTGATGGAAGCCTGCCTAAGAATTGGAACTCAGAGGTAGCAACTCCAATCAACAAGCAATGATGGTGCAATGGAATGAATGAAGATGAGTGGTGTTTTAGTGTGTTTTGGTGTGTTTTGAATGGAAGGAGTGTGTGCAGATACCTCTCAGCTCAGAAAGCCTTCCTACTATGGAAGGAAGCTAGAGGACATGGTAGATAAAGAGTGACTCAAGAGCAAATAGGGCTGGAATCAAATTCTGCAGCATTTCACTAAAGCTCAATAGTGAGAATTACAAAGGGGAGGCCCTCTTATTTATAGGTGAAGAAGGGCCTCAATTCTGAGCTAATTTCCCTCCAAAATTCAAAATAAAAGATGAGCTTGGAGGCAAAGTCAGCTGGGTCACATGCCAAAACGTGCTTCAGGCTGCTTCGCTGGCGTTGGAGCCCTCCTGTCTAAGGGCACTTGAGCGGCCTTGGTGCTGATTCCTTGAAGAATGCTGTTACCAAATCTGATTGGTTGGCCATGGTTCTTGCCTTTATTATATCCTACAAACAAAACAACCATATAGTATTATAAGAGGAATCCTTCTAAGACATAGAGAAAGAAAATCAAGAAAGAGCCTTTAAAAGTTCTTCTTCAACTTCCCTTTCCTAGCCTTAGCATGAGTTAGTACTCCTTTGGATGGCTTGCCTAATTAGGTTTCCATCATACCCTCCCTCTTGAAGAACGATTTGTCCTCAAATCAGAAAGGTAAAGAAGCACAACTTTGGTTTAGTACTTCCCTCCTGGATCAAAGATATATCTACAGCAAATAGCAAAGATGAATATTAAAAAGATGTATCCAAAGAAAAGAATACAGAATGAAGGCCTTTTATCTTTGAAAAAGACTTTCTTAAAAGTATCCTTGGCCTTTATTTTATTTTTTCTTTCACTTTGTTTTGAACATTCCCCTTCATTATATAATGAAACAAAGGAATGTTTTTTAGAAGAAATTTCAAGGTAATTTACCTTTGGATGAAGAATTTAAAAGCATGCATACCTTTTTCTCCTTTCTCTTTTCTCCTTTAGGAGGTTGTTTATCCAACCTTTCTTCTTCTTTTCTTTCTTTTTCAATTTTCATTTTTATTTTTATTTCATCCTCTTTCCCTTGTTGAGGTGTAAGAGGAATCAAAGTTATTTTACTTCCTTTGTGGAGAAAAGTTATCTTATTGGTGTAGCCATCATGAGTGGAGTTATGATCATATTGCCATGGTCTACCTAGTAGAACATGCCCAGCATACATTGGCACAACATCACATAAAACTATTTCTTCATTGTTTCCAATGGAGATAGGTATGTTTACTTGTGTTTTGACTACTATTTCTTCATCCTCTTTTATCCACTGAAGCTTGTAAGGCTTGGGATGAGGAATAGTAGTTAAGGCCAACTTTTCCACATTCTAGAACTACAACAATTACAAGAGGACCCACTATCCACAATTAATGAACAAGTATTTTCAAAAACTTTGCATCTTGTGTGGAATAGATTCTCCCTTTGTGATTGTTTTAGTTCTATAAGTTGACTTTCAAGAAGTCTTCTAACCAATAACAACTCTCCTTCACAAGGTGAGGCTTCTTCCTCATATATGGAAGTATTTGAATCACTAGAAGAATCTTTATCTTTATTTTGATGTTCTAGGATATAAGTAGACCTTTTATTAGGACACTCAAAAGCACAATGCCCCTTGTAACCACATCTAAAACACTTGGTCTCTTTTACCCTATCATTTTTAGAAGATTCTTTAGAGGGATATTTTTCCTTTTCTTTTTCCCTAGGTCCCTCTNCTTGTTGAGGTGTAAGAGGAATCAAAGTTATTTTACTTCCTTTGTGGAGAAAAGTTATCTTATTGGTGTAGCCATCATGAGTGGAGTTATGATCATATTGCCATGGTCTACCTAGTAGAACATGCCCAGCATACATTGGCACAACATCACATAAAACTATTTCTTCATTGTTTCCAATGGAGATAGGTATGTTTACTTGTGTTTTGACTACTATTTCTTCATCCTCTTTTATCCAATGAAGCTTGTAAGGCTTGGGATGAGGAATAGTAGTTAAGGCCAACTTTTCCACCATTCTAGAACTACAACAATTACAAGAGGACCCACTATCCACAATTAATGAACAAGTATTTTCAAAAACTTTGCATCTTGTGTGGAATAGATTCTCCCTTTGTGATTGTTCTAGTTCTATATGTTGACTTTCAAGAAGTCTTCTCACCAATAACAACTCTCCTTCACAAGGTAAGGCTTCTTCCTCAAATATGGAAGTATTTGAATCACTAGAAGAATCTTCATCTTCATTTTGATG